CCTTGCCTACCTGATTTCCATTTCCTTCCGTCTTTTCACGCTCTTTTTGTCCAAATCCTCCTATTTTATTTGAGCATTCACTGCTTGTATTCGTTCGCCATTGATCCATTCACAAATTATTGTGCGCTTTCCCCCTTCACTCTCTGCCTTTGTCTCTTTGCTTGCACCACATTGTCTTCATAGTACTTCTAACAGTGTTAAACGAGTTTACTTGTTTCTTGTATTTGTGCCATTGTACTTTGTGCTTTTAGCCTAATGACACTTTTAGTCTTTGTTTCCTGTTTAGCGCAAGTACGCGCGAGTTTATCTAGGAAATTGACTGATTTTTCATTTACTATGAATTTTCACGATAACGTGGCAAGTATGAATAAGTGGGAAGTTCGAGAAACTAATTTTATCGGTCGTCGTGGGTTTCTTGGGTCTGAACGAGTCATATGAATGAAATACTACCGGTTACGCAAGAGGAGCACGTTTTCTTTGATGGCGTCGGCGTCGCTTCCCTGCTGTCGTTCCGAAATTAGGACTCTGTCATTGGCATAATCTCCACATGAATGAAAAGGACCCTGGCAGAGTTCGCAACTCGAGTGACTGCGTTACGACATAGGATCTCCTACGTGCCTGGCTGCGATAAAAATAACATTGTTTTGCCTGCCGGGAGTAAAACGTTCGACTATTATTAATCATAGGCAGCATATCCCCTTTTTACAGGAGGGCAAGAACGTCACTTATGAACTCGCAACAATACGAGACGGCGAGATCGGCGATGCTCGTGGATCAAAGTTAAATTTTTCCCAATGCGAATTAACTTGGGCTGTTGATCCAAGAAATGAAAAACATTTGTCTGCTACAAATCAGGCCTTGGTGGTTTGATCTGTCAAGTAATTTTCACGTGGGTGGTCGCGGAGGAAGGTCGCAAGTAATCTCTGCCAAAGTATCACAAGACACGTGCCAGAGCATTGCCGAATAGCAAATCTCGTTATTTACCCGTAATCCCGCTTGATTTAACGCGCGAGACTCGGGATTGACGTTGTGACTTTCCGCGGAGTAACCCCTTAACGTGCGAACTTAATTTACTCGCATTATTATTGTCCAACTACATCACTCGTGACGGCCATGACAACTTTTCATGCTAATAACCCTTCGCTCCATCATCGTTGCTCATTAACCGATCGTCTGTGTTTTGGCAATCGCTCGCGGTTGCGGAATATCCACGTTGCACGCTAGTTTTCCGCATTCGAGAGAGAAGTCTTCTGCCATCTAATAACGAATGGAATCTACGGTAGCAGGATGTCGTAGAAATAAGATTGAGACGATAAGTAAGCTATAAATAATTCGTGACCTCGGGACATTCGCTGTTTGAAACTCTCTTACGATAGGTGAGTGCCCGCGTGGTAAAGGTATAAGTTTTATAAAAAATAAAAAAAAAAATAAAAAAATGCCCAAGTCCGCTTCAACACCGAAAGATTTCGAAGCGCGCTAGATATGGCAGAGATGCATGCGAGAGCGAGCCAGGCTGATAAGAAAGACGGGGTATATCGAAATAAATTGTAAAAGTATCTGAACGGCCTGGTTGGCCGCTCGGAAATAGATCAGCCAACCACCGATCATCTCGGAGTTAACGACAAATAAAAGGAGTCGTTAATGTTTGTTGCCGTATGCTATTTTTAGTCCGCTTCGGGCATAACGTCAAGGACGCGTTGCGAAACTGCAATCGAATGCGAAGCATCCGATATATTTTGATGGGGACTTGGTACGTCTTTTTATCAACGAATAACGCCAGATGCGCCATGACTGATGAGTCAAGGAAAATTTTCGTTAAATTCAATGAATCCTATACTTCTCATGACTATTCTACTTGGCTAACAGTTAGTATTTTTGTTTTGGCACGTATGCGATTTTTCGGGTCTTCATTGTGGCCCACTTCTGTCTTTTGACGTGATACGCAATAGCGAATAGAAAAAGGCAGATAGCACAACCCTTGAGCATCATGACTTTGCGTGTATCAAATTCAATGGACGAAGTCCACACGAGGAACTCGACGACATCCTTTGCCTGCTGCGACGTATAGGCCCTTACACCGTCGTCATATTGTACCGCATCGTCCACGACCATTTGCGGCATGGTCACGGATCCTCCAGGAAAGTAGGCATTGAAGGATTGCCCTTCTCTGATTTCTATTCCAGCCGGTGCTTCCATGTAGCCAGTCAGCACCGAGAAAATGTAATTTATCCCGTTTTTCCTAGCATTCACTAGATAGGTTAAATCGGCTGGATAGGCTCCGTTATTGGCAGCCCTAGATGCTTGTTCATTTGGAAATGGTGGTGGAATTTTGTCGGATAATTTTCCAGGTCTTTTAAAGTAATTACCCTCGTCGTCCGGACCGTCTTCGACCTGCAATTAATCATTATGAAAAGTTGGATAGAGTTATTTTTTATTTTATTGCGCAACCGCATGAAATACATTAAATTGTTTTATGCATTTGCCATCGAAAAAAAGGATATATATGCACTGAAAATCGCAAAGAAACGGCTAAGACGATCGGGCTAAAACTTCTAGAAGATCTTCGAGGTTTCGGATATAGATCGAACAGCAACATTTTCAGGTGTCCAGCCCTTTTGGCTTTGATATAGCGCGTGGGCAAAATTCAAAATACTCTCTACCCTATTCGCACATGCGCGTGGACTAATTTTCGGATGGATCGTTGAACCAACGAAATGGAAATTATTTGGTAATATTTTCAAACACTTTCGATTTCAATAAGACGCTTGAGAGAAGTTCAGATAGTCGAACGAAAAAAAGTTTCGTTCAATAACCAATTTCAAAAATTTCCTTATTACTGTAATTGCGTGCATGTTTTTTCTCTTGCTAATGCGAATGCACGAGATGCGATCACACAGTGACATCCGGTCATGGAAACTTGTTCGCTCCGATATTTTGAATATCGCGCCTATTCTTCATCCGCGGATGGTAAACCGACTAACCTGGACCTCCGCTGCAAGAGCCTTCGCTTCTTCCTCCGTATGCGTCACATTCACCAGGTCTCGATAACTGACGTACTGTAAACTGTGACACGTACTGCAAATTGTTTTGTACACCTGCCATCCTCTGCGCACAGCAGCATGGTCCAAAGATGCGAGGAGGCCATTGAAGGACCAAGGATAGTTTGGAACTTCGAGTTCCTCCCCGACGGCTAGAACACTCTTGTCGAGGAAATAGAGGCAGGATCCACAAGTGGTTAGAATTCCGATGCCGATGCCAGCGCATACTTTTGAGATCCGTCTGATTCCTTTGGTCCTTGGAAACGCGCTTGTCTTCGTGTAAATTCGGCTAGTCGTGCCGAAGCGCGGCGTTCTCCTCGCGCTTCGTAGCAATCCACAAGTTCGTAGCAGGCTGGACGCCATGACGCACGTGACATTGCGCTCGATTCTTGAGCCTCCAAAACAATTTCGAACGCAACTATTCGAGTGGCCTTGAGTACGCCACATAGGTATAATAGATCGATCATACATGTGTAGTAAATCGGCGTTTTTCTTTTAACCGCACAATTCGCCGCAATTTGGCACACTTCACTTCGATACGGTATATTGGAGAATTCTGTTAGAACCAGCCAATAAGACGTTGGATCTGAAAGACGTGTTGTCGATCTTTAGCGACTTAGGGTGCTGTCCCATGTATAGAAGACAGAACAGGAACGACGAAATTGGAAAAATAGTTTTGTGGGGGTTGACCAATCATCTTCGTTCCGAAAATGTCAAACAGTGCCCGGGTTCCCCATGCAGAAGAAAAAACGGAAATTCTGAAAGTGTAAAAATCAACTTTCGTTCATGTAAATCAATAATAAGGACACATATTGTTGGAAAAATCATTAAATATTAATTATCAATAAGATTGCATAGATTGAAATGCGAAGATTTGAAATTCGTAAAATTTATCAAAATTTTAAGGTTAAAATTTCTACCCGTTTTCGGAATTATATGGTAGATAGGGAACCCGGGCATCGTTTGACATTTTCGGAACGAAGACGATTGGTCAACCCCCACCAAACTATTTTTCCGATTCCGTCGTTCCCGTTCTGTCTTCTATACATGGGACAGCACCTTTATACCGAAAAGGAAAAGCTGCGAATGCATTTTTTTTTAAATCTTCGACCGCTTCTGTTTCCTATTGATTTCCTTTCTTCGTTAATAATCATCGACTACACCCACAGTCTGACCTTCCATTGCGTATCCGTTGCCATTCTGGATGCAACGATGTTCGCATTGCAGGCTTGCCTCGTGCTGCAAGAATCTACATTTAAAAGTATTTGCATATAGCGGCGCAAATTAAGTAGACTCATGGTCGCTTCTATGGTATCGTATTCTAATATGTATCCCGATATTATTTAATATAATGTACCGATAAGATGACGTTATTAGCAAAGCTTAATTGCCTCTTATTAATTGCGGAAAGTCACGGTAACGTTATACAAATAACCTGTTAGAGCTCCGTTTTCCTCACGTTACTTCACGAGTGGTGTCGGTCTCTTAGCTAAATGTTACAGAGAGATAATACAAGAATAAATAGATTGTAAACGAGTAGTGATCGCAGCAGGATTCTACGAATCGATCCTTATCACTTTCTGCGATCTGACAATCGGTAGGCAGGTCGCACACACGTATGGATTTATGTAGATTGTATTTGCGCCGTTAAAATATTTGTCTTTCGAGGGGCCATCTCCTTATGTCATTCAATGTGAAAGATTACCCTGAATGTGTAATCGATGACATGGGCTGATGTCGTCCAGGTGGAAGACGTGTACAGTATCGAATATAACCACGTTGTGGTAGGTAGTCTTTGCACTCGAACTAAAAAGCTCTGATCGTACAAACTTGTGGATTACATTACACAATCGCTTACGCAACGTCACAATAAGCTTGTACCATCTCGGTATTTCCGCGACGTTATAAATAAACCACTTGGTTATGCTTGGCATTATGCATGCGCACATATTTGCGCGGTTATGCCGCGTTACATGCACGCGCGCCTTTATAAATATAGATGCTCACCGACGCTCGGACTTCCTGTTGCTTACAATCGGTGATTATTTTTGTTTATCGAACGGCTCAAAGGGTGGTTAACGTTACCTCGGACAATTTTTCTTGCGAGTTTTCGAACACGGATTGATTTCTATTGACGGAGATATTCCTATAGCTGCGGCTGTTCCCGTGCGCTTTCTTTCGAATTACTTCGTATTTATCTTGTCGGTGGGGTATACTTGAATCTGTATAACGCTCAATTTGACGTAGTTCAGGATTATTTTCGTGAGCTTTCGATGAACGGGAAAAACAATGTTTCTCAATTGATTTTTAATATTAGAAGTTTTTTACTTTTGTTAATATTTTTTGTGTATATCACAAAATACCATAATAAAATCTTTCTATGGAAAGATGTTTTATGGCTGTTCACACTTGAATGAACTAAAATACTTTTGAGGCAGTTGTCTCGTCAAAGAATTTTTTTCGGTATTTCTTCGAATTTTAACTGCATATTAATCATACTGCTGTCTAAACGTCTGTGCACCTATAGGAAGAGGCTGGCCGTATACAAAACGAACGCCAATGTCACACTTGTTAGTTTAGTGTTCAAAGGTCATTTAATCGATAGGGTATTGTATGAATATTTTATACAATTTTGAAAATTATTCACTGTTCAGTTTTAAAAATAAAGTATTAAAACCATGGGCTGTTTAGTGTGATTTAGCGACAACGTAAAGTTTTAATAATTTCTAATGCACTTTTAAGACCTTACTTTTTTTTTTCATTCTCTTCAGCAGTCATATGTCGAAGTTGTCAATGAAATATTTGAGTCAAGTTATTCGAATTTCATCGCGTGTCTATGTACACGTTTACTTCCATCGCCAATAAACTTCAAATATTAGAATTTTGAATTTTATAAATACATAGGTCTATATTTACAAGAGAAATATAGTACAGGCACGGCTGAATTCCGAAGGTTAGACTACTGTTGTTGTGACTGGTGGACAATTCTGAGTCATATATGAAAACTATTAATTAATTCTATCACGTAAGCTTACTGGACGACTACATTAATCTGACAGATGAGTACAGACAAGCCGAGGAAGGCATTGTAAGAATGAATTCATTTTTCTTCGCTTTAATATAAATATTTATTCCGTCAGAATTTCAACAATTGATAGAATGAATATATCTATTCTGACAGTGATGCAATTTCGAGCGAAAATGCTTTTAAAATGATTAAAAGTAAATGCGTGCTTCTCTGAAGCTTTGTTTATTCTTTCGATATAAAACAAATAAATATTGCCGTTATTTTATTGACACAATTTCATTTAAAAAAATCAAAAGGTAAAACAATATACGTAATATCGATCCTACGCGAAAACGTTAATCGCATTTTTGTTCACAGCAGCAATTGTAAAATCAGATCACTTCAAAGATGACTCTACATTTCGTAACAGTCATTTTCGAAAGAATTTTTTTATCATTTACCTGCTGGCCTTTTACTCAAGATCTGACAAGGTTTTCACAGCCAAATAAACAATGCAAGAGTACTTATCGTGCAACCTGCTCATCTAAACTCGAGACTCCATTGTGCTCATTTTAACGACGCCCTCTACTATCTAAAAATAGTGACTAACAATGCAGAGAGGAATGAGCCGCAGTGGGAAAACTACCTTATCGGCGGAGAAGAGATAGATATTTATAGTTTTACGAGGCGAGGCCGAGGCCGAGACTTACCGACATAATGCATCGTAAAGATTAGTGCTCACGTAAGCCCACGCCTGTACATGAACATGTACGAGCCAGTTTCATTTCCATTACGTTACGAAAATTTCATTGGAGTTTCGTCATTGAGTCTCATTCACGTGGAACTTCTCGACTGGACTGTGATATTCGAGGAATTGTACAGGTCATCTCGGATAAATGATTTGTTCTCTTGATTTTCAATTTATGGGTCGACAGCAGGAAGCAACGGTTATACACTGTGTCGGTTTAATTATACAGTTCTCTTTTTTTATTTTCTTTATAAGTAACTCCTATCTCGATTAGCAGATAGGTGCTTATAACCCTTAGCATGTAAGACAGCCTTCACGATGGTCCATGATGAGGGTAATTATAGGTCGCGGAGTCGTTAAAGTGTCCGCCATGGCCAAACCGAACGGATACCGAATAGTGCCGGTAGCGTTAACGAGGTGCAGTAAAGTCATAAAATTTCAGCGAAGAGCTTTCGGAACATGAAATTCTTACGGCGGTGTTATTATGTCAATGGCGGATATTCGTAATTATTACGTGAGGGAGAACGAGGAGCTCACGTTTTGTCGAAATTACCTTGGAAATCGCATCGAGAACAGTCCTCGATACGCGGCTAATTGGGCATGTAATATACGCAGCGATTGGCCAAACCCATTGGAATCGAGCCAAGCCAAGCCACGTGGTCAACAGGTGTTTTACCGCAGGGCGTTGATTTCCTCTAATTTTCTGTTTTTTTATGCGTTGACCACATTAGTTTTAGTCACGTGGCCAATTATCTCTTTGATCGTACTTTATAATGATGTTTCGTTTTCTACATCTAATACGGATTTTGTACAATACTTTAGATATATCAAGATCTCACATCAGAACGTGTGCAACTTTTGATAAAATATTTTTCTTCAATTTTAATATTCCTTTTTTCGTCGTACATTTGGTAGCGCTGGTATGCGAAGCCAATTCAGTATTTTTAGACACTTTTATGAGATGCTAATTTATTTTCGCCGTTAATTTTGTACTTTTCGAAGAAACACTTTTCGTACAAGGCCATACTCGATTGTTCTAATAAAGAGACGGCGTCCAGAAAGAAGCTAAATGGGTGACTCAGTTATACGGTAGAGTCGCATTAGTAATATGTAAGTCATTGGTCGATTGAGGATTATGCCTCTCGGGAGTATTATAAAACGGAGACACACACGTGTTGGACATCTTAAGGTGATACATTAAGTGAGAAGTACGATCGAAGCAGATGTTTCTAAATAGTACTCTTAGCTTTGAATGCTGGCCGCGAGATGGCAGGATTCGTTCCAATACAATTCATACATATATATTTCAACAGGAAATAGGGCTAAGGTAAAAGTTTAATTTGAAAAAAAAATAAAAATTGTAATTATAACGAACAAGTGGGCATGCCTCTTGCGATTCCTGTTTACTTGAAAATCATTTATTTTAAATATGGTATCTGCACAATAACTGTCGAAAAACGATACTTATCACGTTTGTTATTTTTACTCTTACGTAAAATGCATTGTTAACTCTTTGCGGTCGTAGTCTCGGATATTCACGGCAGGATATCCATGACAATCGGTGTAACGACCGCAGACAGTTCATGTAAAAGGTTGGGTGAGTATGCCAGAATCGGGAAATGGAAAATCATAATTTATTCCCTCTTTATTATTGTAATTGGAATTTTTGTATATTTTTTAAAAATTTACAAAATTTACTGGACACTTTTTGGAAGAATGGGTACTCATCGAGTGAAGGTTGCAATGCGTGGCATTTATTGGCATATCTTTATGTTAACATTGTTTTATATTTCTGTGCAGTATAATTTGCAAATATAATTTGCGTAATGAACGATCTTCGTAGAGCGTCAATCTT